GTGTCTGTGTGTGTGTAAACAATGTTGTCTATATTATACTTATTATAGATGTCGACATGTGTCGAAACTCTTGTCTAAATCTGGATCCCACAAAGATAGCAATTATATGTTTGTTCATTATTTTTATGCAATTACATCCTTAATAGTTGTGTCTTTTTATGTAGATCAAACAGCAAAATCTTTATTGATAGAAAATTAATAAATTGTTAAAAGAAATACTGTGTCCAGAATTGTTTATTATAATCATGTTACCGAAAATCTTTGTAATAATCATTTGATTTATAATTAAATAGTAAAAAAGTAATTTTTAATTATTGCATGATATTTAAATAAAAGTCCTTTTTAGGACGATTTAAATATAAATGGTCAGGTTTGGTTTGTTTTGTTTTGAATTTCGCGCAAAGCTACACAAGAGCTATCTGCGCTAGCTGTCCTAATTTAGCAGTGTAAGACTAAACTGATGTCTGTGTATAATGGTAACTATTCCTACTTAGAACAGAAACTGTGTATAGAGGTAACTCTTCCTATATATAACAGAAACTGTGTATACAAGTAACTATTCCTACTTAGAACAGAAACTGTGTATACAAGTAGCACTTCTTACATAGAACAAAAAACGTTGACACAAGTAAAATTTTTGTTGACAAGTCAATGAGGTTGTTTGAAAATTTTTATTCGAATGTGACCAACTCAAAAGAAAGCTCTATCAGTAGATACGAGATGGCGCTGTGTTCTAGGTTATAACAATCCAATTTCGTGTTATAAAACGAAGCATCATCCAGCTGGTACCCCTTATCTAGCAGGCAACGTTGACTGTGCACTTTTGCTAAAAGAGTTTCTGGAAATCCGGAAAGAAGTAAGCAACAAACGAAATTAACACAGCTTCCAATCACCCTATAGAAGTTTTGGGCGTTTTTAAACAATAACCAGTTAAGGTAAGACGGTTTTACACGTTTTTAAACAATAACCAGTTAAGTAAGACGGTTTTAGACGTTTTTAAACAATAACCAGTTAAGGTAAGATGGCTTTAGACGTTTTTAAACAATAACCAGTTAAGGTAAGATGGCTTTAGGCGTTTTAAAACAATAAACAGTTAAGGTAAGACGGTTTACACGTTTTTAACAACCAGTTAAGGTAAGAAGGTTTTACACGTTTTTAAACGATAACCAGTTAAAGTAAGACGGTTTTACACGTTTTTAACAACCAGTTAAGGTAAGACGATTTTACACGTTTTTAAACAATAACCAGTTAAGTAAGACGGTTTTTAAAC